TGGCTCCAAACAAGGTCTTTCACATGAAGAGGGCGATTGGATTGGTGCATCCGAGGATTGAGGATTGGTCAAAACTAGTGAGCTTGCTGATTCAGTAACTTCATCAGTAACTCTCTCTCTCTCTCTCTTCAACAAACTAGGCAACGCTTTCAATTTCAATTCAACTTCACTTATCAATTTGTCACAGTCTGCGTCAATAAAAGAGGCCAAGGAGAAGACTACTCGAGAGGGCACTACAGCGAGCTCACTGGGATTTTGCAGTAGTGGGTTTCTTTTTCCCCAAACAGTTTACGGTTAGGGGTTCTCAATGCCTTGGTGTTGGATGGTCTGGTCGGGTTCCCGGCCAGCTTGTCTCCCACTTCCTTTCATTTGTCTTCCAGTTTTTTTCATTTGTCTCCCAGGCTGGGTGCTTGTGGTCGGGTTCGCGGCTGGCTTGTCTCCAACTTCCTTTCGTTTGTTTCCCACTTCTGTTCATTCGTCTCCCACTTCCTTTCATTTGTCTCCCACTTCTTTTCATCGGTCTCCCAGTTCTTTTCATTTGTGGTCGGGTTCCCGGCTGGCTTGTCTCCCACTTCCTTGGCTTGTCTCCCAATTCCTTTCATTTGTCTCCCACTTCTTTTGATTGTCTCCCAGGCTGTGTGGTTGTGGCAGGCTGGGTGCTTGTGGTCGGGTTCCCGGCTGGCTTGTCTCCCACTTCCTCTCATTTGTCTCCCAGGCTCGGTGTGCTTGTGGTCGGGTTCCCGGCTGGCTTGTCTCCCACTTCCTTTCATTTGTCTCCCAGGCTCGGTGCTTGTGGTCGGGTTCCCGGCCGGCTTGTCTCCCACTTCCTTTCATTTGTCTCTCACTTCTTTTCATTTGTCTCCCAGGACTCCCAGGCTGGGTGCTTGTGGTCCGGTTCCCGGCTGGCTTGTCTCCCACTTCCTTGCATTTGTCTCCCATTTCCTTTTATTTGTCTCCCACTTCTTTTCACTTGTCTCCCAGGTGCTTGTAGTCGGGTTTCCGGCCGGCTTGTACTTTTCCCCCAAACAGTTTACTGTTAGGGGTTCTCAATTCTTTCTTAAGATGTGTCCGCCCATTGTGTCACTGCTGGTGTCCGCCCACTTCCACTGGCCATGTAGCATTTCTATTCATTTGTCTCCCAGCTCTGTCACTGCTGGTGTCCGCCCTTTTCCGCTGGTTTCTATTCATGTGTCTCCCAGGTCTGTCACTGGTGGTGTCCGCCCTTTTCCGCTGGTCGTGTAGCATTTCTATTCATTTGTCTCCCAGGTCTGCCCAGCCACCGGCCACCGCTGAGGGCATGGTGTATACCATCCAAAGCCAGGCTAGCACCGCACCAAGGCATTCCGTCCACCTCAATCCGCCGATGGGGCATCCGTTACTCAGGCATTGTGCTGCTATAACATTGACATATATGCCACCAACCTCTATAGTGCTCCCTTTTTGGATCTGCCAACTCACAGAGATTTATGACCAAGTCAGGCAGACATGCTTGTTTGAACCTGATGAGCCCGGTCGGTCTTAGAGTGTTCCTTGCTGGCATCTTTGCATCTCAAGCTAGTATACTTGGGCCATGAGCATGCAAGACAGACGAAGCAATGAACATATCGGGCACACCAAATTTCTCAGACAAGACGCGCGCGGCTTCGATTTTGCCCGTGTCATGCCAGCTGCTGATGAACTCTCCGACAAGGATGCTGCATGCCTCATGTCCGAGGCGCTGGCTGTTATGAAGGACAACTTTGCACCAGAGCATTTGCCAAAATGTCAAAACGCATCCACGACTACTTGCTGCCCATTAGCGTGGCGAGTTGCCAGGGGCTCTTCTCCACCACCATGATGTTTGCCGCAGCAATGCCAGCCTTGACGAACGGCGCGTCCATACAGCTGTAGACACAAAAGCCTTCGCCGCTAAGCATGCTCATGTTCCACATTGCGCCCCCGCAGAAGGGTAAGAGTCGCTTGTTTCAGGCGGTCGAAATGTTGTACGAGCCTTGGCTTTCTGGATATACCTTTTCGCCCTGATGTGAGGTGTGTGGGTTGATTATAAAGCTGTGTGCAGCTTTAGCCGCAGCTGTTCTTTTTCATGTCGGTTGTGCCAGTCCAGGAAATGGCCGACGCTTGCGTTCTTACCATGGCGGAAGAGCATATGGCCACATTGGTGGCGAATGCGGAGCGGGAGTCGCGAGTGCCTTTCGCAGTCCGTCACTATGTCCGAATTTTTCTTCAGGTGTTCTACCGATTCCCACAGATGGAGTTTGGCGCCAGAAAGGAAAAGGAGGGACGGCGCCTGTGGTATGGCCAAGCATTCAATTTAGATGAAGCCTATGAATGGCTGGAGAACCTCTCTCTCATTGGCTGTCCAGGTGAAAAGTCTAGAGTCTAGAGCTACGAGCATCAACCCGCACGCATTCATCTACACTCAACACTCTGATTGCGAGGGGAAAGACAAAGCGTGCCACCAGGACATCTGCATCGTATGAAGGCAAGGCTTCCCAGCACGTCAGCTTCTCCGTCTTGGGCAGTGGACACCCAACCAGAATCATTGCTATGGAAAGGAACCTGGAAGGCCAGCATACGGCTGCAACCCGTGAACGCTTCATGAAGTCCGTCGACTCGTTTGTGGCACGGCGTTATGCCTTGCCAGAGAGCATGTTGGTGGCTGACCCAGATTTGCCCGCATTTACATGGCTTCCCCTGACTACCTTGCAAAGCTGCCATTTCAAGCGGGAAGGCGTTGTCAACAACCCGGAATACTTCGCCAACTCCGTGGCTGAATCGCAGGATGCTGACCAAGAAGGCTACCCCATCTCCTCTCCCGACAGTGCAAACCGATGACAGCTGAGGTGCCTTGGCTTGGATCTTGACATGTTGTGGCGGAGAAGTCTATATAGTGCTATATTGGGCTGGCGAACAAAAAATGTCAAGACGGTCCCCCGCCGCTTCCCTGATAAGGGTGCACAACCTATATAACTTTCAAGCTTTTTGCGGTCGGCGCCCAGGACAAAACCTGGGAATGCAGACTGCTCCGATTGGCTTGGTTCCTCTTTGCTTTGCGCTTGCGCAGTTTCTTTTTCCCTGCAAGACCACCACCAGATGAACCCATGCACAGCGCGGAGTGTTTTGGGGGTTGCGCACTCAAGGTACCCAGGTGGCGCAAAATGTGCGAGTGTCCACAGTTGGAGCTTCGGAGGCGCTGCGTGCTGGGGCTGCAGCACATCATGGACAAATGTCTGCCGCCATCGCTGTGCTGGCGCTGGCCAGTGGCTCTGGCTCTTTCGATGCTGCTGGCAGCCTTATGGTGACTGCTGAGCATGTGCAGGCGCAAGTGGCTGGTTTGCGTTTGTTCAGCTTCTGGTGCGCAGGCTTATTAATTGCTCAGTGTTTTCCCTTCAGGTGGCCAGTCGGCTGGTCGAGCTCAACCTTCAGATTCGGAGCGCTTTCCGCGGATGGGGAGAGGCCAGCTGATAGCGACAGTGATCCAGAATGCGTTGCCAAGCCGGTGCACGGTTTTGGTTCCTTTGCCGCGCCTGCTGTGTAGCACTTCTATTCATTTGTCTCCCATGTGATTTCTTTCTTTTTGTCTTTCAGGTTTGGTGCCTGCACTGCTGTTTTCTGCCCTGTCCGCTGGAACAGGTTCGCCTGTGAAAGGTTCTTGCTCCTTTGAAAGGGGCGCGTGACTGTCTCCGGGATTGCATTCCTGCCGCACTGTGTAACTCTCTCAGCTTTGTTTTCCTTTTCGGGCAAGCGTTGGATGAATGACCGGATTGGATTTCGGCGGCGTGGCAGCGATCTCTCTGTTCAGTTGGGACAGAGGGCATACGTCAGGCACCAAAAATCAATTTCATGTCACATGCTTCGCTCCTCATGCTTTTGTTTCTTGTCCTCGCGCGGTCAGCTCCCCGCTGATTGAGCAGCATGACCAGCATCATGTTCGCGCTTGAAGAATAATTCCCCAAAAGGTTTACTGTTATAGGGCTTCTCAATTCTTTCTTAAGATGTGTCCGCCCGCTCTGTACTGCTGTGTCCGTCTCTGCCTTGCAATCCTTTACATTTGTCTCCCAGCTCTGGGCTGCTGTGGCCGCCTTTGCCTTGCAATACTTTGTCTCCCAGCTCTGGACGTCGCAAGCTCTAGTTTCGATTTTGAAAAACACAAACTGTTTGGGGTCTACGGTGGTGTAATTATTGTATAGTTTTTGGTGGTGGTGGTAGTAGTAGTAGTAGTCGTAGTAGTAGTAGTAGTAGTAGTCGTAGTAGTCGTAGTCGTAGTCGTCGTCGTAGTCGTATGTGTCGTAGTCGTATGTGTCGTAGTCGTAGTTGTAGTGGTAGTATAGTAGTAGTAGTAGTCGTCGTCGTCGTCGTAGTCGTAGTAGTCGTAGTGGTAGTAGTACCGGGCCCTGCAACTTAGTGTCAATGGCTGACGACAGTCGGCGGTTGCCCTGTTTGTTTGTGTACCGTACCTTACCCAAAGAGAAACAATTTGCTCATGGCTCTTGGCTTGGACCAGATGTGGAGTTGTTTTCCAACAAGGAAGATTGGAGATCCTTTGAAGAATGCTTTCCTATGGAGCCCAAAAACCTGAGTGTATAGTTGGGGATCGCTGTGGGATTTGCAGAGTTCCGCGGAAGAAAGCATCAGAAGGAACCCAAGAAGGGGTTCTTTTGAAGAACTGATTCATGGGCCGCTCAGCTGATCAAGCGGACTCAGTTCTTGAGTCCAGACATTTCCCTGTGGGTTGATTTGAATGACTTGAAGTCCTGACATCCATTTTGCTATTACAAGTCTTCAGTTTCCTGACATCCTTTGCAGAAAGATCAAGACTTCAAGGGGCGGTCCCATCCTGGAAGATGCTCTCCAAAAGACTTGTGTGCTCGTCGTGTAAGAAATCCTGTCCAACAATTGAATTCTGGGGGACACAACTCAACCGAAGCATGTCATTTTTGTTCGACTCTTTTTGTGAGTCCTCAAGACCTCCAACACACCTACAAACAAACACACAGCGTGGAGGGTCCTATCACCTCTTGCTGTGCAGCAGCCGCGCAATGGCGAGCTTCAGGGCCTGTGTGGACTTACAGCTCAATGAGGCATGGCAGTGCGGAGCAAAACACCCCCGATCCTCAAGGCACCAAGAGAACCCCCCCCCAAGCAATTTGTGAATTCAACACGTTTGGCATTCCAATGTTGACCCCTGGACCCATTCAAGTAGTCGAGACGGTTGGAGATGTTCTTCGGATCACTAGAAGGCTATCAAATGAAGTTGGAACTGTCGGTCCTTTTTGTCGAAGAAAAGCCCTGAGTCTTCGAGTCTTTGCCCTCTCTTTGTTTTTTTTTTTCTCTCTCTCTCTCTCTCTATCTCTCTTTCGCAGACGTCGCATTTGCTCGCACTCCAGGTGCGGCGACGGCTGCAAGAAAACCTGGCACAAGAGTTGGAGCGTTTGGGCCAGGACGAAAGTGTGCGCAAATGAGTTGAGAAACATTGAGAGACTAGAGACTCCTAGAGACTCAGGAATCTGGGAGGGAGCCTATCGACGCTTTGGGGGGAGGGGGGAGGGATCGGTCTTCTACCATCAGAACCCTTTATTCCTAGTAGCTTCTTGCTCCTAGTAGTAAGGCCAGGAGCCCCTAGTAGCGTCCTTGCTCCTAGTAGCGATGCCCTTTGTTCCTAGTAGCGTCCTTGTTCCTAGTAGGAAGTTGTTTGGGGGACTCCTGGATCCATTGGTCCATCCTATGGGCTTTGCCCATCAAGTCGTGTATGGTAGGCCACCCGGCCCCCAAGGACTGTAGATGACCAGACCAGACGTTTGCGCAACTTTGCATCCTTGTACAGGGCAATCTGTCGTTGTGAACTAGTCTACGGTGAAGATTTTGATAGATTTTGCATGCATGTAGTTAAGTTGGGTGGAACTGAGCAAGACGCTCGAACGGAGTGGAGGTGAGGTGGTGAGGGTGAGGAGGTGAGGATGACTCGACAATAGCACATGTTTTACTTTGGGATCTTTGAGCATGTCTTAAAATGAATGAGAAGACATGCAGAAAGATGAAGTAGGAAAGGGCAATCCCCATAAACGGTGGCGTTTGATGGAAGAAGGCGTATTCAGCAGGAAGTCCACGAGTTGGTTGGTCAATGGCGGCTACGGCTGCTTAGTTGAATTCTGTTTGCACCGTTTCCGACAGCCAAGGTTGGCCTGTTGTTTCTTTGAAGACGCACAAACACCCTAGCACATTTGTTAGTCGCCAGCTATGAACCTTGGATGGGGATCTTTGCTAAGGTTTGGTTTGGCAACCTGCACCGATTGATTTGTGTGAGAATCTTTGATCATCATTCAATCGCTCTAACACTGCCACGCCCGGTATAGTCGAATCATGTCGAATCCTTCTTCAGAATCATGCTGAGCTGGCCCCATTCTGGAAGGGGTACATCAATTAAGACAACCATAGACAACCCAAACAAGGGTGGCATGGATGTATTCTTCCTCCAATCCCCGACTGATCCGTAGGCAGTGAACCGGTCGCATTTCTGCAGGCTTATCCTCCCTCGTCAAAAAACAGCCGCTGAGCCCTCGAAACGGCCAGGACCTGGTCGCAAGTCTTGGTGACGCTTCAATGAGTCCACGGATGATCGAGCAAGTAGGTTGGACATCTGGGGGCCGTCCGGGCATGTGTTCCCATCAGGTCAGTTGACAATTGTCAATTCTCTAAAATTGTATTTTGTATTTTGACAATCTTAAATGGAGCTTTTGTTTTGCCTAGTTACTATATGTAGTTAATTTATTTTTGACGTTTGCCGTGCTCAATCTCATAGTGTGGCTCGTTGACCGCATTTAGCTCCAACTATGAAGTAAGCAACGTTGTGAACTAGATCGGCCACAATTTGAGACACCATTCACGTAAGCTTTGCAGAAGCTCCTGTGGAAGCAGATGTAACAAATGTAAGTAATTGTTGTTTGGCGACAAAAGCTGCCCCGAAGCCTGATACTGGAAGAACAGGCAGCGGTGAGAAAGCCTTGTTAGGTTGCTTGTTCCTTTCCATGCATTCGCCTGTCTACAATTTGTGCTAGGTAGCTGCTAGGTCCGCTAGGTCTTCTCCAGCCGGCAAGGTGTACAGTGGTGGGCGCCTTTAAATGCCAGCTTGCGTACATTATACTTTGCCTACATTATACTATCATATCACATCCATCGTGGAAGCTTAGTGGAAGTGACAGCAATTTGTTTGCTGGAATTGAACTATGGAGGAACATGGCGACACAAGGGGAACATCTGAAGCCGCCAAGCTATTTGGATTGAAATTGCCGAGAATGACCCAGCGGCCCCAGCCTACCAATTGCTATCACTTGTTACTTCTCATCGCTTCCCTCCATCTCCTTTTTGGGTTTCGGATCAACTCGTAGAGAGCTCTAACAATTTGCAGTGACGGTGAAAGAAAGGAAAGGAAAGGGTTTGTCTTTGGTTTGATGTATTTTTGATTCTTCGTTGGGATGGCTATATCAGATATTCACATATATATATATTATATATATATTTATACATAAATATAGATAGAGAGATAATAGATCTATACATACATCATATAGCTCTTTGACTATTTATTGACGACACCCTGGTAAGAACTAGATTAGATCTGCGCTTGCTCCTCAAAGATAACATGAGAAACCTCAAAGGTGCATGCTGCATACCTGCTCTACTAGAGTTACTAGAGCTATATATGCTTGGGAAACCTCAGGCTGATCCTTTGTAGAGTTTTGCTGAATGTTCACAGGTTCAGCAGCTTCCAAGTTTGGGATAGTAGGTACTCAATACCCTAAGGCAATTTTGTGGCATTGTTTGTCTTGTTTCGGAAACACAGCCACTCATGCCATCCAAAGAAATCGAAAGGTGCCAGCGTGAGCATCGATCTTTGGAAAGCAGATCTTTGGCGAAATGAAGAGGATGAAGAGACGAAGGAGCAGCCCCTCCACATGATCAAAGAGGCACAGCAGCTGAAGGGAAGGCCATCAAAGTCCAAATAGCGATGGCCTCCAATCTACTTGAGATGGCCTCCACCCTAGAGGCCCTAGCGATGGCTTCCTAGGTTGGTCACTTCGCCCCGGTCATCCTTGCATGACCTCCGGATTTTACAACACAACCAGCATCCAACACAGAGCCCTGCTCTCACAACCGCTTGCACGTGGTCCCCAGCAGCCCCCTCATTCGCGCATGCAAGCCGTGTGCAAACGTCTGCTCTCAGGTGTCAAAAGATCAGGTGTCAGAGAGATCAGAGAACTCTGCACCTCTGATGGTGACGATCGACTCTGTGACCAATTTCCAACACAGGCAAATCAGTATGGATTCTTGTGAACGAGTCCGCAGCGTGAAGCGCCAACCGTTGGTTTTGCACCCCATGTGGTCGCAGGACAGGGGGAAGCCAGGGCTTGCAAGACATGGAAGGAGGAAGGGATGGAAGGAATGCTGGAATGGAACCAGACAGAGACGGAATCCAGCTGACTTGTACAGAATGAACTATTTCTGTCGTGAAACTACGTACGCACGATGTTCTTAACGCAAGTGTTGATTTGTTTGCCATATGCTCAGGGAATAAATGAGAGCGTTGTGACAGCAAGCCGAGGTGCCGAGCATGTTGGTCGTGAACAGGATCGTTTTCTGATTCTTTAACTTCCAGCATTGTACCAAAGTGCTTTCAAGCTACCTTGGATCTAGCATGTTCTTTCCAAAAATACACAGGAAGGGATTGGGCAGCTGGGCGCCTAGTCCTGGATTATTGGGTCATAAAGTCCGACATGATTACATGAGGACAAGATGCAGTCACCCGGTAGGAAGACATGCCGAAACTGGAAGCTGGGTCCACAAAATTTTACATTTGCTCATTGGACAGTTTACAGGTAATGTTTCCGTGTGACGAACATGAAAGCTGTTTCGCGGGCTCCGGCAGTCCAACATTCAAGACTTCTCACACAGGCTTTCAATTCCCCACCTGTCAGATGAGGGTTGTTAGACTTTATGTCAGCTGCCTTGCTCCTCCGCCTCCTCCTCCTCGTCCTCCTCCACCTCCTCCTCCGGACCTCAACCGCAAGTGCAGGATGCCGGACCTGGCAGTGTTTCGCGCCGGACCTCAACTGCCAGCTCCGGCTGGCAGTGTTCCCCGCTGGATCTCAACCGCGATTTCCGCTTGGCAGTGTTCCCCGTCGGACCTCAACCACGAGCTTCGGCAGGCAGTGTTCCCCGCCGGACCTCAACCGCGAGCTTCGGCGGGCAGTGTTCCCTGCCGGACCTCAACCGCGAACTTCGGCTGGCAGTGTTCCCCGCCGGACCTCAACCGCGAGTCAGAAGATATGCCAGATAGAACGCCAGAATGTCAGAAAGACTGTCAGAAGATATTCAGAAGATATGCCACGTAGAATGTGAAATAATGTCAAAAGATATGCCAGAAAGAATGTCAGAAGATATGCCGGAAATATGTCAGAAAGGCTGTCAGAAAGAATGATCCATATGCCAGAATCAAAATCAGAAAGAATGTCAGAAGAGATGCAAGAAAGAATGTCAGAAGATATGCCAGAAAAATGTCAGAATATATTACAGACAAAATGTCAGAAAGAGCGTCAGAAGAGATTCCAGAAAGAAAATCAGACAGCATGTCGGAAGATATGCCAGAAAACATGTCAAAAGAAATGCCAGAAAGAATGCAAGAAGGTATGCCGGAATATCAGAAATATTGTCAGAAGATTTGCCAGAAGGAATGTCAGAACATATGCCAGAAAGAATGTCAGAAGATATGCCAGAAAGACTGTCAGGAAGAATGTCAGAAGATATGCCAGAAAGAATGTCAGCAGATATGCCAGATAGATGCCAGAACGAATGTCAGAAGACATGCCAGAAAGCATGCCAGGAGAGATGCCAAAAAGAATGTCAAAACATATGGCGGAACAAATGTCAGAAAGAATGTCAGCTGAAAGAATGCCAGAAGATATGAGAGAAATACTGTCAGAAGATATGCCGGAAACATGTCAGAAATAATGTCACAAGATATGCCGCATAGAACGCCAGAAAGAATGTCAGAAGGTACGCGGAAGATATGCCAGATAGAATGTCAGAAAAAATGTCAAAAATATACCAGAAAAAAACAAAAATAATGTCAGAAGATATGCCAGAAAGAATGTCAGAAGATATCCCAGATAGAATGCCAGAAAAAATGCCAGACACAATGCCAGAAAAAATATCAGAAAAAATGTCGGAAGATATGCCAGAAAAAATGTCAGAAGATGTGCCAGAGAGAATGTCACAAGATACGCCTGAAAGAAGGGATGCCAGAAAGATTGCCTGAAGATTTGCTAGGTCGAATGTCAGAAAATATGCCAGAAAAAATGCCGAAATAATGTTCATTACATGCCAAAAAATGTTCATTGTTCTCTTCCCGGCAGTGAACTGACCCCGTCCGGAAACAGCTGGCAATTCAACATAGTGGAACTGCAATGGAACAACTGTCAGCATCCTCCAGTAGTAGTTGAAACTCGACAGGTAGGCATCAAACATGGAGCGCTTTACGTGGGGATGATTTACCCCCATGACCCCATGTACCAATGGGTTGACCATGGTTGACCATCTTACCTTTTCGTTTACAAGGCCTGGGGTGAAACACACCGGCCACAGGAGGTCCGGGTCACCAAGAGCAACTCTCTGCGGAACACGGACCTCATGCGCCGGCCCTCGCGCTTCGCGATCCGTGCTGGCGAAGAGGCCTTAGGCCAGAAACTGTGGGGATGAGATATTGGCAGAGGAATTAGAGGCATACTCGCACAATCGTTGAAAATTCATAAAGAGCTTGAGTATGAATCCTTCAAAAACATTTTTCTACAAACAATTGTTGTCGGATGTTTATGGTAGTTCAAGTTTGGTTTTCAGAGATGTTCAAGATGCAAATTGCAAACATACAGAGGCTAGGCAGGAAATTGCAGTAGCAACAACAACACATCAACCTGACAATCTAACTATTTGACATGGAGAGAGGTTCTTGGCTTGACCTCCTGCATGGTTCATTTATGTGTGACGGTGGCCACCTTCTCAGATTTGATGGATTCTCACCCAGAGGCTGCAATGTGCGTAATTAACATTGAGACCAGAGTATTAGTGGTTCGGGAGAGATTGTTTGATGGAACATGGGCTACGAAAGAGGTTCCTGGAGTAATTATATACTTTGTATATACTTTGTTTCTCCATCGCAAGTTTCAAAGTTCTGTGCTTTGTTGGAGTACTTCGCTCCTACTCATCTCTCCTCCAGCCCCTTCCATCCCCAAACTTCTGGCAGAGTTCCCAGGTGGGCAAGAAGTATTCCAACTGATTTCAGCTGTTTCAAGTCTCCATGTTTCATGCCAGCACGAGTTGCGATGGCATACGATGACTCGATGGGGTCCATTTGGTGCAGGAACGGGATGTCTTCAGATGATGGTCTTCCGACCCAGCAGCCTCCGCTGCCTGATGTGGGACATTGTTTGCTTCATTGCCATCGTCTATGACACAGCGCCTTGGTGTGCTCGGTGGTCTCCGCCACTGCGCATGATTGATGGCGGACCCAATATCTAATATCGTACAGTGAGCCTAATATCCATAAGATTGACAGCGACACCCACGTTGCAATCGGTTAAGGGGCAAAGACCTTCACCTGATGGACAGTAACTAGCTGAACAGTTGGCCCAATTGCACCTCCCTGCTTGAAGGGGAGTGGGTCAGGTCCAAAAAGTTGTAGGCCTAGCAGATGCCGGTTTCGAGGTTGATGGGATCCTCTGGGATATTGCTGTTGTTGCTTTGTATTTGGTCCTGTCAGTATTTTGGTTCTTCAACACCACATCACAAGAAATGCATCAGGCAAGGATATTTACATGGAGATACCAACCTCCTTCCAACAACTCAAAAACATGACACTGGTGGGACCAAGATGCGTGGTGCCTCACGCGTTGAGCAACCAAACACACTCGGCCACGGCAAAGTTCATGTGCACTTCACTGGGCACTGATGCTGAGTTCATGTTTGCAGGGAAAGGTGGCTAGAGTGATAACCAAGCTCAGAAGGGAAGGAAGGAAGGAAGGAAGGAAAAAAGAAAAGGTCCAAAGATCCTACGAACCATATATATATAGTACTATATAGTAATATAGTATTATATAGTAATATAGTATAGAAATAAAGAAACACATAGAAAAAACAATGATATATATATAATAATGATAAGAATGAGACCTGAAGTTTTGGGCAAAGGAGCATATCATAGCATATAATATCCTTGCAGATAAACGTCTCCTCGAAAGGGGGTGTTATCAAATTCATTTGAATTTGGAAGGTGTACAGTGTACACAATTATATAAGTGAGCCATATACAATGGTCAAACACAAACAGCATCAGCTCTCAAGATGTGTATTCCCCGCATAGGTGGAAGTATTATGAATCAAGTCAAAATCATACATGGACGGGGGATGTGGTGGGAAAATAGGCCATAGCTGAATTTCCGATCCAAACAGACTTGGAATCCAAGCAGACTTGGAATAGTAGCGTCGTTGCTCCTAGTAGAAATGCCCGTTGCTACTAGTAGCTTCTTGTTACTAGTAGTAAGGCCAGGAGCTACTAGTAGCGTCCTTGCTCCTAGTGTTTTTTTGCTCAGATCATGGTCCCTCTCTTCTCAGCTTTTCCAATTGACACCACTTTGGCGCTACAGAGTCTTGGCACCATCGAGTCCGTGCGGCGCCGTGCGGCCAAGCCCAAATATGTAGCATTGCCTGCGAGATCTTTCTGCAATTTGTTGACTCGTACACATGGTTCATTCTTGAACGTGACAGACTCAAGTAAAGGTGAATGTTTGACACACACCTCACATGGAGACATTCTGACCTGGGCAATATAGCGTCATCCTACCCAGATATTCTCAGAGTCAGAGAAGTCAGAGAACGCAAATCCAGATGGATCAAGGCAAGCATTGTGCAAAAGAGCTGGTTCTATTTTGGCTCATCCTGCTAGTTAACTCTTGCACGACCAAAACGCCCCCTATGACGACCTGAGATCACACAGACTTTGCACTTCCATGTCGAGTCTGAGTGCTAGGAACCGATTGTGCTGGCTGGGTTTAAGCTCACTGAGTTTGCCAGGATTGAAGCCCGCATGGATGTTGATCATGGGGATGTTCTGCCTTTTTGCCCCGAACTCTTCGTCAAACATCCATGGGTCATCATGGATCCATAGATCAGAAAAGATCCTTGTGAAACGAACGGTGCAGATACATGACGGATCATCAAGGTTCTACCAACACACTGTGCAGATTCGATATTTGAGGATCTTGGAGACTAGCAGTACCGTTGTGTGGGTTATCGACATGTTTGCGACGTTCTTCCGTGGATTCCTGGACACACATACAGGCAGGGCATTGAGGCAAATCGCAGGACCAGGGCAAACGATAGAATTTGATCACATTTGATCGATTTGCTTCAAACGCATGTGTTCCTCGTGTTTTTCCCCATGATGTAATGCGATACGTCAGGGATCTAGTAGATCAAGATCCGATCATTGCTTGAATACATCGTCGAGGGTTCAAGACCTTGTGCAACACACCAGCTTCTCAACCTGACCGGAGGGCACGGAAGGTAGTCCTGGAAGACAAAACTACTGTACTGTAGCTGAATGAAAAGGCAACGACCTCAAAGTCGACCTGCTGAATTGCCTCGGGGCCTGCGGTCATCATCCACACTTTAAGCCTCCAGCTCTTCGGGTCACAGGGATTCTCAGCACCAGGCTGGATCCCTGGAAGTGGTTTCATGATCTCTCAGTCGGTGAACAGCACATTTGTTGCTGCCTAAGGTCGGTTTCATTTGTTTAAGAGAGGAACCCCGTGAGTGTGCGCAAAGGCTTCAGATGTGTTTGATCCAAGGCTGTGCCATGGGGTTGCAATACCAAATGGCCGGGAATAGAGCGATGAAGAGTAGGAGAACCCTTGAGAACCCCATAATTTTACAATATTTTACGGTGTCAGTGTCGGGAGACGCATCAAAATAAACATATAAATGCAGCATCAATAAATAAGCAAAAATGCATCAAAAAAGAAATAACAATGCATCAAAAAAAACATAGAAAGAAACGAGCAAAGGAAGGAAGGAAGGAACGAGGCAAGAAAGGAAGAGGAAGCAAGGAAGGAAGGAAGGAAGGGCTAGCGGGAGGAAGGAAGGTAGGTAGGCAGGTAGGTAGAAACGAAGCAAGGGAAGCAAGGAAGCAAGGAAGCAAGGAAGGAAGGAAGGAAGGCTGTGAAATTGAAATGCGATGTTGCAAAGCTTTGCCCAGATGCCCAGCACAGAGACCATTCCAGTTATCAAAGGAAGATTCATTGGGGAAACTCCATGATATTTGCTTTTTGATCGTGCCAAGTTACATTGCGGGGGAGGCGCTGCGCCCTCCCCCGCGCCCC